TTGGTTTACGACCACATCAGAGTTTCAACGTTTGTACAACAGCGTGTCTTGTAGTAAGCGTCGGGCCTGGTAGACGATTTCTTTCAAACACTAAGACACGAATGAGAGCTGCCCATAATCCAAAGTTATAACACGGAAATTTCCGGACGCGTATTGCTGGAACGAGACTCCATGCCGCTGGTTGAAGTAAGAAACAAAAAGTTACTAAAGAGTTGCGATGGAAGGGATAAGATAAAAGAGTAATAAATAGGACGTCGAGAAATCGATAACAGCTACCAGCTTATGAAGCAAAAATTCGATCCTGGATCCGGTTATCCTTGGATCTGGTTATCCAAGAGATTTGATCATCAATTTATTTCGTCCTATTTGATGGACGAATATGTTGCCTCAATCCAAAGCAAAAATTTTAGGAGACACATGAAGCGCTTAAAGAAACTGGGATTTCTGTGGGAGGTTAAAATCCGTTGATCCTGCTGCGAAGGATTTTTGTCACTACAGACGGTGCGATTATTTCATGGGGGTTAGTTCCTTCTTAGAAGACTTCGTTACCACACTCAGACCGGTCGATTTCACTGGGCAACCACAAATTGAGTTTGTAGTAATCACCTACAATGTACGTGGATGTCTTCGGAACGATAGCCCTACAACCGAAGTTATGTCCGACGGAAGATTAGTAGCCATGCACACACAATTAACGAGCTAGCGCTGACTCGCTGACTCAACTTTTTTTCAGCCGAAATTCTCAAATGTTTCTGTGCAGCAAACTGTGAGGTCCACGAGCAAAGTTGCTTGGACATCAAAAAGCTGCAAACATGATTCAATATATCTTGGTTCACAATCCTGCTCTCACTCTTCGGATTCCTCAGGATGCCTCGTCAAACGTTCATTCAAAGAGCTGACACAAGACGAAATATAAAGCATGAAGCATGCTTGACCAAAATTCTTATGTTCTCGATTTCATTTACTCTTTAATTGGATAGTCAGCGCTTTCGTATCCTTGCTGGGTTCAGCCGAAAGTAGGTGTGTTTATGTGCATAATGAAGTTTTGGCACGCACAGGCTTTCCTACTCGGCCAACGACCGTAAGGATAATCAGCAATAAAGCGGCAGGATCAACAGATCGCGAAGGATCAGAGAGGATTGCGGCAAGAAGGTATTGTGGCACGCAAACGAAATTTGCCGAAAATTATACATATGGATGTATATGTATATGTAATTATAAGCAATCATATTTATCTAAGTAAATACATACAGACACACACACATACAACGCATCGAATTAATATCGAGCTTATTGGGTAGGTGAAAAAGGACATGTGTAGCGGCGATGCGATAGTCAGCTTGACGAAGGATCAATGCATGCAAAAAGAAACAAAAGCAAAATTATAAATAAGAAAGTGAAGAAAGGCGGACAGCTAGTAATAATGAGTGGGGAGGTTTAAATTAAAAGTGAGCTAATAAATGGCTGTAGGTTTTTTTATTTTATTTATTTTATATTTGTATGTAGTTTTCTTTTCGTATTTCAAAGTTTGTACAGCGCAAGAAAATATGAATATTTTTTTCAGGTAGTTTTAAGCTTAGCTGATGGCATGCCACTATTATTTTGCGATGCTTTTATTTTTATTTTATTTTTTGTTATCTCTTATAATTTCCTGCAAATATTATTTTTGTGCACTACTCTTATAATAAAATTTTGATTACTTTAGGTTTCAACTTTTTAATTGACCGTCTGCGCCTTCGCGTTCACATTGCGAAATTTTACACCTGTCCCCAATTTCTTTTCTCTTTGCTTGTCTTTGTGCCGTAATTTTTATTGGTACATTTTATTTGTTTTTTTTTTGGTTGTTGCTTGAATATTTTTTTCGATGCGCCTGCGCACAGCTTAGCTCTACGTGGCGCAACATATGCGTCGCGGATAAGTAGGATCTGCAAAAAAGGATTCAACAAAGCCGTAGCAGGATCAAACGAACGGTATTTTGCCAAAGGTGGTGGGTGCCTACACATTCAAAGAAGCGTAGCTATATGTGTGTGTACATATGTACATATGTACACGTAGGCGTACAAACACACATTTAGTACGGGATATTTATAAGTATACAATTTGAGCGAGGGCTTTGTGCGTTGGCGGGGCGCGTGCTGTATCTAATTTTCTTTTGTTGTAGTATTTTGTACAACAGGCATCTACGAATCGTGACTTCGTAGGGCGAAGGATGATATCTAAAAATTTGATTTACCGCAATTTTCTTAAAAAAATGTAGGGGGAAAAATAAGAATATGTTTTAACAAAATTTTCCAAAACTATAAAATTTCCCAAACTTTAAAATTTTGAATGTAAACTTTAATTTTTTAATTTGAAAAAAAAACAATTTTTTTTAATAAGCATTCAAAGTATTTAAAAATTTAAATTGAAGATGTATTTCGAAAGTACTATTGTATGTGACAATTTACTGACTATATGTGTATGTGTTTTATAAAAAAATAACACATGTGAAAGATCTTTATAAAATAAAATAAAATATTTAAAAATTAAGTAAGCAAAAATTCAATATTAAAAAATTACTGAAATCAAAAGTATGTATCATGATAATATAGAATAAAGGGAAGGCTTTAGAAAATTAAAAAAATCTTTAATAATGAAAAGAGGAGAATCATTTTTTTGTTTCGAACAAAAAATTCCAAATTTTTTTCGTTCGAAAAAATATTTAAATATTAAGGTAGATATAAAACAAAAATGTATTATAAAATAATCATTCTAAAGATCATCCAGGATAAGAAGAAGGCCGAAGGCCTTAAAATTTGAAAAAATATAAAATATTTCTTTAAGGTTATAAAGGAAAGGGGAAATAAGTAACATGTATTAAATTAATATTGAGATTTTTCGAGCGGTTAAAGGGATTACAAGGAAAATTAAAAAAAAAAATTAAATAATTTTCAAACTTTAAAGTGTTTTTAGTCAATTGAGTTGCAGATAAAAAATAATAACTGGAAAAACATTAAAAAATATAAGAACTTAAAAAGGAATTGAACATTTTCTTCCTTCTTTTTAAAATAAAACTGCTAAAATATTAATTTCTTTCGAAAAATATAAACCTGCAGTACCAAAAATTCGTCATCAAAAACAATAAATTAACTTTTAATTTCGAAATTTTGGTTTTTCAGAACAAAAAGCTGCTAAAAACCCTTTACTTTCAATAAAAAAGATAATAAAAATATATGTACAATACATATTTACAAATCAAAAAAATGTATTAAAGAACAACTTTTAATTACCACGTTCTGGTTTTGGAACGGAGAGCTGCCAAATATTTTTTGCTGCGAAAATAATCAAAAATTTTAAATTATTAAATTTAAAAAACTCAAAAGATATTTTGCAATTAACAAAAAAAAACGTTTTTCTGTGATAAAATTGAAAAAAAAAATTTTGAAGATAACTTTTTATTTTTTTTAATGACAAATTAAAAACAAAGTTTTTTAGGCAGAAACTGAAAAATTATTTTAAAAACTAATATAATAATATTATACCTATTTAGATAATTTTTTTGATACATTTTTGTATAGGATAAACTTTATTTTCATTAATTTTTGTAATTGCATATTTAAAAAGAAAAGTCCTATAGCGAAGTTAAAAAAATTATCAAAGATTTCAATAACAAAATATGTTTATACACATGAGATATTTGGAAAATCCGCATTTGTGGAAAGATTTGAATGTATACATGAAAAGGAATAGTTTTGATGAAATTAAAAAAATTATATACAATTTTTTATATATCAATTTTTGTAGAGAGCCTCTTAATTTGTATGTAATTTTTTTTAATACAAATTTAAATCTACTATAGTTCTTTTAGAAAAAAATATATAAAAACTCAAAAAAATATTATGTATATCATTGTTTGGGATAGACTTTTATCGGGGATAAATTTTATTTTTCAAAAAAAAAATTTACAAAGCTGAAGTGGAAAAAAATAAAAAATTTAACCTTTTTCACTTGACTGCCCAAATTTAAAACGAAATATTTGCAAATAAGCAAAAACAAACATGCTAAGCTAAGCAAAAGCGACAAACGAAAAAGTTACTCAACCAAAAAAATTGTCTGCTCGCATATAACCGTTTGATATGACATGTTATCCTCGCCTACACCTTTTAATACTTCGCGCATGCGCACACTGGCTTAGCAATTTTTTTCTTTATGCGGCGGTGAATGGCTAATGTAATGGATACACACACTCACAATACTTTTACGAGAAGAGTAAATATAAAAGCACCAACATTAGTTTCATTATCCTTGTGAAAATAAGCTGTTTAAATGTTTTTGGTATATTACTCGTTCATCCGAAAAATAAATAAAATTATGCGCAGAAAATTGCCTTTTCATTTGCATATTTTTACGCAGGCGTGCATACATTTGTATGTACAAACATGTGGAAAGTAATTAAAAAATGTACTTGCACATTTTTAATTTATTTCAATTTATTACTACAACCTGATGTAACCTTTTTGCTTTTGTATGAGAAACTTCATTGGCGTTGCTGAATTTTTATGAAGGAAAAAAGGGCGAATTTTGGGTTTAATGTCCGCATTTGGGATACCTTTACGGCTATTTTCAAACTTTTTATTAGCGGCTGTTGCTTGGCACACGTTGTAGGCAGCTGCAATCTCCTTCAAATCGTCCTTATGAAATGCCATGTATGTATGTACAAATGTATGCGCACACCTTTCGTTTTGTCTTAGAGTTTATTTACTTTACTTTTTTATTTGCAGGCATTTAATCGGAAAGTACTTTTTTGGCACTGGATTACACTTATGGTTTCAACGCTTGGCTATCAACTTAAATAATTTGAATTGGCAACACTTCGATGGAAGTGTTTGCTCGTTGTTTTTTACTTAAAGACATATACACTAAGTGAGCATTTTTTGTCAACTTTTAGGAACAATTTTCCTATAGCAGTGTGGGCCGAGAATAGCTTTCACCCCTTGCGTGTCTATATCAGTGCCGATTAGAGAGAGATTTTACTTTACATAAGAGCTTTAAAGTGTTTAGAGCTTTGGTGCTGCTTTGAGCTCCACCGGCCTATATAAACGACCATTAGGAAGAGATTTTACTCTATGCTTTAAAAACTCGTCCCGTGGACTATGTTTAGGGTGTTCTTCTTCTTCTTCTTATTTGGCGCTGTAATCGCCTAAGCGATTTTGACCGAGTTCAACAAAGCACGCCAGTCGTTTCTTTTCTGTAAGTAAGGAGTAACAGGTGACACCACCTGGTCTTTCCATCTCAGTGGGGAGCTTCCTCTTCCTCTACTACCACCAGCGGGTTCCGAGTTGAATACTTTCAGAGCTGGAGCGTCGGTGTCCATTCGAACGACATGACCAAGCTTTAGGGTGTTACCGGCATGAAATTTCTATACATTTTGAAAGGCTCTGAACTCTTACTTTTGTAACGGTTCTGGAAGAATTTATTTATTGTAAAACACAAATAGTTCCGACTGTTTATATAAACTTTTTATTGGTCTTCTAAAGCCTTCAGTGGTTTCGATGATTTCGTAGTACCTTTTTTTGCTTGTTTTTTTTTAATGAGAAAACGATAGGAAGAATGATAAAATATGCTGAACATTAGCCTTATACGAACGACGAGATCCAAGAAGCCGGACTAATAGCTACATAGTTTGAAAGGCGACTGCACTGAATGAGTAGTCCATTAATAGTAGTTCTATTTCCTTATTCATTTATGAGCTAAAAAGATATTAGCGCTACTAAGAAATCGAGGCATACTTTAGTATGTAGAAGAAACAAGACGGACTACGCTGAAGAGTCTAAGCCACTTTAATCTTTAGGTGTAGACGGATCATGTTGTAATAGCAGCTACAGGCCCATTCCTCTCTAGCCTATTGATCTCCACCTGAAAGAAATGGCTATGAAATAGGCGGTCAGACTCAGAGTCAGGCCTTTAGGGGACTAGAGACTTCGGACATGGGTTGACGACAGACTATATGGTAGGCAATTTGGACTTCATCCAGAAGGGACTGGAGAAGAGGCCGAGTGGCCCACCGAGAAGCGATCTCTCTATACACCGATGGATCCAAGATGGACTGCAGTCTAGGAGCGGGAGTCTACTCCGAGGAACTCGGTGTCGCCGTGTCTCTGCGAATGGGAAATTATACAAGCATCTTCCAAGCGGAAGTTCTAGGTATCCTAGAAGCCTATAAAATCCTAGGCAATAGGGTCGGGTACAAGAGTAAAGCTACAATATAATCTGACAGGCAGGCGGCGCTATTGGCAATGCAAAGTGATACTGAGTGTCTCAGTCAACTAACGTCTCTCTTGTCTGGGCTCCCGGACATAGGAATATAGAAGGCAATGAGAAGGCGGATGAGCTGGCAATGGCAGGACCGGTTTAGATTAATCACGAGTTGTGGCACTTTCTTGCTCCCTTAGAATAGTCCAAGAGAGATTACTACGTATTTCCTTTAACTGGCTGGACACAGGTGGTCAAATAAACGGACTTGTAAGATATCGAGAAAACTATGGCCTAACTGGCAGATCCAGGCTATAGGTATTCAGAATTGTAGCCACCATCACGGGGCACTAGACCATAGGCAAAAATGCGGCAAAAATAGTTCTAACCCATAATATGATTTGCTACAGCTGTCAACTAGACGATAGCGAAGAAAGTTTCCAGCATTTCCTTTGTGAATATCCACGTCTTTCGAATATTAGACACAAAACATTAGGAAAACACCTGGTAGCACAACTAACCGGCCTATCAGGAGCTGCCATAAGCGCAATTGGTAGATCCATTAGGGAATCGAAATGGTTCGACCAAGCAACATAGAATGTGTTTAGACAAAATATCCTCCGCGAGAAGTGCGGACTTTTGCTAAACTCTACAGTTACTGAAAAGATTAGCTTACTTCGGGACCAGGTGATCCACAGTCTTGTCGATATAAATATTGGTTGTTCTACTTTTAAATCGACAATATTAGCCTTGGTAATCTGTCTCAAGTAGCTCTTTTAAACGTTTTTTTTAAGCTCAGAATATCGGAAAGAAAGAATTTCAAGATGGTTATTTTGGGGTTAAGTCGGTTTTGTCAAATAGAACATGGGATCATTTATTTATTTCCAATTTTTTTTTT